GAAGATCAGGTTCGAGACCACCTGAGGACCCTGACATGGAAAAGTCTATTGCTGCCTTGTGCTATTGCACAGGGTTTGGAAATCTAAGGCGGCTGAAGTCATTCCAGTATTAAGCTGTGTTGGCAGAAAAGGTAAGGAAAAAAAAGTCACTCGAGCATGACTGCCCCAAAAGCTGGGCAGTTAGTGCGGGAGACAGTACTTTTGAACTAAATGAATATGACTACTACACATTAAGAGAATTTTATATCTATATTTTATCACCATTACAAAACATTTTCTCGAGTGGTAGAAACAGCACAACCACGGGACGCCTCTGCCTTCTTAGCAGTCGTGATCAGCTTCTCAAGGAAGAGATGAGTTGGAGGGGGCTGGACAGGGCCAGAAGTCTCTGTGGCACCTGTACCACTCCCGCGAGCTTCCCGTGGGCGAGGTGGGGCGGGCAGCGCTCGGTGCGTGCAGTGCCGGGAGGAAGCTGCGGGGGCCGCTGTTGACTGAGAGGAGCGAGAGAATGTGCTGCAGCCCCGCCCGCTGCGGACAGAATCGCTTGTCCGCTCGCTCGGTGTCCGACCCGGTAGACGCCGGATTGCGATCGTCCCCGCGCTGCGGAGCCGTGCTGAAGGAGGCGGAGAGGTCGGCGGCAGCGACCGGGAGCGGTGAGCCGGAGAAGGAATTGGAGCAGAAGCGGGAGCCGAAGCGGGTACCAGATCGGTGGTCGGCGGCGGGGATCTGCCGGCGGTGTTGCGGTGCCGGCGGTGCGGCGGCGGAGATGTGCGCGGCGGGGAGGCGCTGGGGCCGGCGGCAGCGAGTGCTGCTGTGGGGCGTCCTGCTGGCGGCCTGGGAGGCGGCGTGGGGGCAGCTGCGCTACTCGGTGCCCGAGGAGATGCCCAAGGGCTCGTTCGTGGGTGACGTGGCCAAAGACCTGGGGCTGCAGATGCCGGCGCTCCGCCACCGCGACGCCCACGTTTTTGACACAGGTAGGACACGGTACTTTTTTCTAGACTTGCAGAACGGCCACTTATCTATGATGAAGCAGGTGGACAGAGAGGAGATGTGCGCAGCTGTTCCTAAATGCATCCTAAATTTTGAAATTCTTGTAAAGCAGCCAATGAACATTTACAAAGGGGAGGTAGAAATACTGGATATTAATGATAACGCTCCCAGTTTCCCAGAAAGAAGCAGTGTCTTAGAAATCATCGAGTATACTGCACCAGGTGCACGTTTCCCATTGGAGAAAGCTCACGATCCTGACATAGGAGTGAACTCTTTACAGAATTATGAATGTAGTGAGAGCAACTATTTCACCTTGGATGTGAAAAAAGGAGATGACGATGTGAAATATCCAGAATTAATATTGGTGAAATCTTTGGATCGGGAACAGCAGGCTGTTCATAATTTGATCCTAACAGCCACAGATGGCGGGACTCCGGTAAAATCGGGATCGACAACAATACAAATAGTTGTGTTAGATGGAAATGACAATGCTCCAGAATTTACTCAGTCTGTGTATAAGGTGACCGTGAGAGAAGACGTGGCCGTGGGAAGTCGGGTGTTACAGGTGACAGCGACTGACAGAGACGAGGGGCCAAACGCTGAGGTGAAATACTCGTTCTTTAAAATCCCGGAGAAGTTTGACAAAACTTTCAAGCTGGATCCTGAAAGTGGGGAAATTGAAATAACAGAGAAGTTGAATTTCGAAGAAGACGAGTTTTACGAATTGGTTGTGCAAGCTCGGGATGCGGGAGGACTCTCTTCCCACAGCAAGGTACACATCAAGGTCACTGATGTGAACAACTACGTTCCTGAGATTGTCATTATGTCCGTGTTCAGTCCGGTTCCAGAAGATTCACCGCTGGGAACTGTAATCGCCATTTTCAGTGTCCAAGACAGGGACTCTGGGGCCAACGGCGAGGTGCAGTGCAGCATCACAGAAAGCCTCCCGTTCCGCCTGGAGAAGTCATTCGATAACTACTACCGTGTGGTGACTGCAGAGCTGCTGGACCGGGAGCAGGAGTCGGAGTACAACGTGACGGTGACTGCGGCCGACGGCGGGCGGCCGGCGCTGCAGAGCAGCAGGGTGCTTTCGCTGCGGGTGCTGGACGTGAACGACAACGCGCCGGTGTTCGCGCAGGAGCGCTACAGCGCTCGGCTGCCGGAGAACAACGTGGCGGGCGCGTTGGTGCTGCGGGTGCGGGCTCGGGACGCGGACTGGGGGGAGAACGCGCGCGTGCGGTACCGTCTGGGGGAGGGTGGTGTGCGGGGCTTGCCGCTGTCGTCGTACGTGTCGGTGCAGGCGGAGACGGGCGCGCTGTACGCGCTGCGCTCGTTCGACTACGAGGAGGTGCGCGAGGTGGGGCTGTGGGTTTGGGCGGAGGACGGCGGCTCGCCGGCGCTGAGCAGCAACGTGTCGGTGCGGCTGCTGATCGTGGACGAGAACGACAACGCGCCGCAGGTGCTGTACCCGCCGCCGGCGGCGTCGGGGTCGGGCTCGGGCTGGTCGGGCGTGGAGCTGGCGGCGCGGTCGAGCGAGGCCGGCGCGCTGGTGGCCAAGGTGGTGGCGGTGGACGCGGACGCGGGTCAGAACGCGTGGCTGTCGTACGAGCTGGCGAAGGCGACGGAGCCGGGGCTGTTCCGCGTGGGGCTGCACAGCGGCGAGGTGCGCACGACGCGCTCGCCGCTGGCCCGCGACGCGTCGCGCCAGAGCCTGGTGGTGCTGGTGAAGGACCACGGGCGGCCGGCGCTGTCGGCCACGGCCACGCTGAGCGTGGTGCTGGCCGAGAGCGTGGCCGAGCTGCTGGCCGAGCTGGGCAGCGCGGCGCAGGCGGAGGCGGCGGCGGGGGCGGGCGAGGCGGGCGGCAGCCTGACGCGCTGGCTGGTGCTGGCCGTGGCCGCCGTGTCGTGCCTGTTCCTCGGCTTCCTGCTGCTGCTGCTGGCGCTGCGCCTGCGGCGCTGGCGGCGCTCGCAGCAGCAGCTGCTGGCGGCGGGCAGCGGCGCCTTGCGCGGCGTGCCGGCCACGCACTTCGTGGGCATCGACGGCGTGCGCGCCTTCCTGCACTCCTACTCGCACGACGTGTCTCTCACGGCCGACTCGCGCAAGAGCCACCTCCGCTTCTCGGCCGCCAGCTGCTGCGACACCCTCCCGGTCCGACCAACACCTTCTGATCATCCGGCTTTAGATGATTTTGTCACTTCAGATCAAGTTGCCGAAAGCGGTGGTCAAGTATCCTCTCAGGTACGTTAATTTTTAAACTGTATTTTGTGTTTAGGATTCTTAGTGCAGTCACAGGCATTTCATAAGGTTCACAGTCTTGGAAATCACGTTTTAAGATTGTCACCAGCCCGTGAATATCACCTGCTGAACGTGTCTGAGTTCGGCTGTGTGTGTTTTATGTGTCATATTCTCTATCGCCTTCCAAAACTCATTTTATCTAGCTTTCCCTAAGGCTGGAAGGTTCCATTGCATGTGCAACTTCACAAGGAAAACTCATTCTTCTGGTCTTCTTCTGGCACTTCTTTGAATTTTTTAAATACTTGCTAGTACCCAGTTCCCAGCATTTCATTCAAATTCCTGTATCAGCTCTCAAATTCTGGTAGAATTGGACAACCTTGTAGCTTGAAAGCCAACACCTCTAAAGTCTCAGTTTTCTTCGAAATCTGCCTTCAACAAACGAATTAGTGAATCCTACTTAAGGGAACTCGAAGTTTTACGAAGAGATTCGTGTTCGATAGTGCAGAATTCCTCTGAGAGGCCACCGAGTTTTTTCCCCCGCTGCTAGGCTTAATATTTGGATTCAATACAAATGTAATTGTGGATTACTGTACAGACATAGTCATTGAAATAGAGTATATTTCCTAGAATATACATTTTAAAAGTGTTTAAAAACAAAGTACGATTCATCACTATCTCCTTATAGTGTAACTAATTTCGGAATGGGAGTTAATCTGGAAAACAGCGATTTGGAGGGTACCTCAGTGTGTGAAGATGCATGAATATGTGTGTCTGGGTTGCTATGGGCGATTGTCGCCATAAAGAAAGTAGTAAATTGGCGGCGACAGGTTTCAGAAAAGTCCCCCGCGCCACCATGTAAATAACCACATCCATCTCTAGACCTCATATAGAGATGTTCACAGTATTTCCATCTCTTGGCTTCTGAAACGCTACAAATTCAAATCCACTTCCTGTTCTGGAAGGTTATTAATTTGTTACCGTGAGTTGTGCACAGGTGCAGCTGGAGGAAAAGGAATTATCCTTCACTGATTGAACTGCCAAAGTTAGCAGGAAAACATATTTTCTAAATATATCTTCCTGAGAAGGTCATGACATTGGCATCTGCAGAGACGCAGTGTTAGTGTATGTGCAAGAACAACTCCACCGAATAGATAGAGTGGAGAGTTTTCTAATCTCTCCTTGTCTTCTGCGTAAGGGGCTGTGATGATACAGCCCTCCCTCGGGATTTTTTGTTGTTGTTTTTGTTTGTTCGTTTGTGTGTTTGTTTTTTCCTCTGCTGTAAGAGAGGCGAGGTTCTAATTTACAGGTGAGGTACAACAGCTTTCCGTCAGGGATCTATCTGTTTTCTTTTGATTGTTTAAGCAACAGTAACCGCCGTCAACCTTTCCCAAAAATTGTTCTTAAGGTTTGAGACCAGCTACAGTATCGGCCGTGGTTTGTAGGAGACAGATGAAAGGAATTCGGTGTTGAGTTGTATGGTACTGATATGATGATGCTGGGCTTTGAAAGTCGAAAGAGATGGGCTCAGATCTGGTGTGACCGCTGTGGTTTTCTCAGTGGCTGGAACTCCTGGCTTTGCTTGGAAATCAGTGACCGCTGTTCAAAGGGGGAAAACTTAGTGCTAACTGTGGGTCTCTCAGCTATCAGAAATAAATCCACTACCCTCGAGCAGTGCCTCAGCGTTCCCTCTGTCCTACCTTTTCTCTCACGGCGGTGAGAAGACGGTAGCGGGAACACCCCGCGCCCCACTGAAGAGATCAGTAAGATCACAGCAGGGGTGAAATCAAGGTCCTGCTGCACATCCTTCAAGCAACGGGGGAGGATTTGTCCTGCAGAAGACTTGCAAGCGTAAGGGATTCAGACAATGGGAATTCCTAGATGGACCCTTACAGCACAAAGAGAAGTTTTCTGTTTCGCGGTACCGATTACCTATTTATTTTCCGATCCGTACTAACTGAAGGACTTGCAGAGCAGGACCTTCGAGCTATTCTTTCTCTCGGACGATGCCGTTCTCAGACACAGACTCAGGGTGTCACTGTTGGCCAAGGCGGAGAAGCAGCTCCGCCGTCGGCTCCTCCCCGGCGCCCGCTCATTGCTGCTCCGCACAGCGCAGAGCAGGGAGAAAAGCAGGAACCGCTCGACTCAGCCGTGCTCCGACCAGCACAGGGATTTCACACATTTATTTCTCTCGGATACCGGTTCAGCTGCTCGGAAAGCCTAATCTAAAGTCGTCCGCAGAATGAAGGTCAGACCGGCAGCCCAGGTCTGGGCAGCTGCCGGGCGGGTCGCGTTGCTGGCAGTGCTCCTGCCGTTGTGCTGCCGGGCGGGGCCGGAGCGGCTCCGCTACTCCATCGCCGAGGAGCTGCCCAGAGGCTCGCTAGTGGGGCCGCTGGCTCGGGACCTGGGGCTCAGCGCCGACGAGCTGCCGGCGCGCAAGCTGCGGATAGTCGCTGGTGACGAAAAACAGTACTTCACTCTCGGGGAAGGTAATACAAATCTGCGGGTAAACGAGAGGATAGACCGAGAGGGCATCTGCGGGGCCGTGTCGCCCTGTGCCCTCCGCTTGGAGGCAGTCATGGAGAACCCTTTCGACATGTTTCCTGTGAGCGTTACTATCCAGGATATCAATGACAATGTGCCGCAGTTCGACAAAGAATTTGTTACCATAGAAATGATCGAGTCGACGCCTCCTGGGACCAGGTTCCCACTGGGCAGTGGCAGAGACCCCGACATTGGGGCAAACTCTTTACAAAAGTACGAACTTACCCCCAATCCACTCTTCTCTCTCTTAGTGAGGGAGAGCCCTGATGGGACGAAACACGCGGAACTGGTATTGGAGAAAATCTTAGATCGAGAAGAACAGAGAAATCACAATTTGATACTGACGGCGCTGGATGGTGGGGATCCAGTCCGATCCGGGACAGCCCAGATAAAGATTAACGTGACTGACGCAAATGACAACCCACCAGTATTCACCAAAGAGATCTACAAGGTTCGACTGATGGAAAACCTGCCAGAGGGCTCCTTAGCTTTTCAGGTGAAAGCTACTGACAGTGACGAAGGTACAAATGCAGAAATTACTTACTCATTCAGTGACATCGCAAAGAGCGCTCGCCAGCTCTTCTCTCTGGACCCCAAGACAGGGGACGTGAAGGTTACAGGCCTATTAGATTATGAAGAAAGGAAATATTACGAAGCGAGTGTTGAAGGCAAGGATGGGGGTGGCCTGAGTGCGCACGCCAAAGTGCACATAGACATTCTAGACGTAAACGACAATGTGCCAGCCCTTTCCCTCCTGCCTATCTTGAACCCGATACCCGAAGACTCTGTCCCGAGCACAGTTGTAGCTGTGATCAATGTCCGTGACAAAGATTCGGGAGAAAATGGAGAAGTGAGCTGTAACATGGACGGAAATCTGCCTTTCAGATTAGAAACGTCATCGGAGAACACCTATAAACTAATAATAGCCAGTGCCCTGGACAGAGAAACAGTATCCGCTTACAATATCACCATCACTGCAAGGGACCGAGGCAGCCCGGTGCTGTCGAGCATGGCAGAGTTGGTGCTGGAGGTGTCGGACGTGAACGACAACGCGCCGGTGTTCGAGGAGGTGTCGTACAGCGCGTACGTGCGGGAGAACAACTTGGTGGGCGCGCTGG